GAGAGGATGTTTTGCCATGTACAGGCAGCATGCAGGGGCACAGGGGACTTGTTATCTCATCCCCTCCAGCCGTGGGGCTCAGCACGGGATGTGGGGGCACACGTGGGGTTTTCAGCCCCCAGGAGCGCAGGTCCCTTTGGGGTCTGCATGGGAGGAATGGAAACAAGACAACAAAACACTGAGCTGCATGTGAAATGCATGGAGCTGTGATCGGGCACTGTTCAGGTGGCACAGTATGGGCACGGCCAGGCAGCACCCCCTGGAAATGTCAGACTTTGGGGGCCGGCTGCATCTGCAGTGTGTGCTGATGCCACTGCATGGGCTTTGTTGTGTTGGGCATGTCCTGGTGATTTTTCCCTGATGTATGATAGATTTTGCCCCAGCATGGGTCATGGAAAGCCCAACATTGATGGGTTTCATCTAATTTCAATTACAGTCATTAAAACTTTTGCTCGCACGAGCTGAGCCTTTCCAAAAGCTGTCAAATGACAGCCCATTAGAGAGCAGTTATTTATAGCGGGGCATGTTAATTTTACAGGATCACAGACCAGTGATTCAGTGCCTGGCGTTGCTGAAAGGAATCACTCACAGGAATGAGTGTTCAGTGACATGAAAGCACCCCAAATCCACAACCTCTCAGCAGCAGAGCTCCAAGAATCTGTCAGAACCCATCGGCAGCAGCCTGGGAACTCATGGGCAAGCTGGGGAGGTTTGGGCTTTAATCCACAGGGAGAAAGGAGAGCATTACACCCTCCATAGTCCATCAGGAAAAGGGCTTGTCTCCCCTAGGGATCCTTCTGCTGGGCTGGCAGCACTGTCCCTCCCTGCTTGCCCTGTGGTGATGCCACTCAGTGGCCCAGCAGCTCCTCTTGGCCACCTCTGAGCACTGGGGGGCAAGGAAGGAGGGACAGGATTGGCACAGCCCAAGTCAGGCTGATCTCTGCTCCCCGTTACCCCTCCTGTCTGCCCTGCTGCCTAATATCAAGCCCCTTTGGGCGTGGGCCTCCCTTTTCCATCAATTCTCCAGCCCCTCCTGCAGCTCTGACCTTGTCTGAGCCACTGAGGCAATATAAAGTAATACGATAATCATAGCAATGATAGCAATAATCATAATAATAAGCCACGCTATGGCTAGGGCACCTGTCACCTAGGCATGTGAGTGCCCATGACAGCTAGCTATTACATACCTAGGCTAAGTGTAGTGGTGCCATGGCTGAGTGTTAACAGGAGAGCAAAGGAATAGGAACAGGGAGTAGGAAATGGGCTCTGATAGCACTGCTGGAGTCTGGAGGTCACTGAATGTCCCCCCAGGCCCGGCTGGTAATGAATCAGCAGCAACAGAGAGATGTTTTCAGGTATCTGCAGAGAGAAAGGAGGATGCTGTGCCACATCCCTGCGGGTCGGGTGAGGTTTTATTGCAGGATCAGCAGCAGTGAGGGACATCGCCGCAATTCACTCCGGCCAAGTTTATGAGAGGAGCAAGGCAGGGGCTCTGGGGCTGTGAGCACAAAGCACTGTTAAACCAATGTATCGAGGATGGTTTGGGCTCTGCCTTGCTGCAGGGCTGTAAATCTGTTCCTGATGACTCAGTCACAGGGTCTATGTTTGTGTCTATAAAATAGGGAGGGAGATAGTGGGGTGTTGGGGAACGATGCTATGGGTGGGGAAGAAAGGCAGCTGGGACACAGTGCTCTTGGGGTTCTGCACCACTGCACATGTTATGGGCATGGCTCGTGGTGCAGCAGTATTGCACAGAGGGTTTTCCCCTGTATTTGGGTGCCTAAATCTCCTATGTGGCATTTCCAAGGCCCCAAAGCACAGCATGGCAGTTTTCAATGACTATTAAACAGCAGAACTGCTGAAAATCTCCCATCTGACCACACCAGCATCAAAACAGCCCCCCCCCAGGACCACCCACCACCCCACCCAGCCCTTGCTCCTGCACCAGCTCTGCCACATTAAGCTGCTGGAATAACTTCATTGCATGGACCGCTTCACCTCCTCTCTGTACCTGCAACTAAGCCCATCTCCCACTATTCCCTTTGATGACTTCTCTTCAGCTGCTGCAGAGGAGAAATGCTCATATCAGCAAACAGATGGCGGCTGAGGCATGTAGCATAAAATATATTTATCAAGGCAAACAGCTGTAGCCCATTTCATCCCGAAGATTTCTATTAAAAGTTCTCTGGAGCTACAAGCTGCTCTGACTTGCAGCCGGAATAAAGCCGAGAGGACAAACAGCTTTTGCAGAGCGTTTCTTTCCCTCCCTTAGCTCTTTTCTTTGCAGCCTGAAGAAAGCCCGACCTTGGCTTGAGGGAGCATGGGCACCGTGAGCAGCCCTGGGTGGCTGGGATGTGAAAGCTGAGAGCACTGCTGCATGTGTCCCTGAGCCTGGGCACGCCGTGCATGGAGCTGCAGGATGGATGGGTTTTGCATCCAGCGATGCCTGTGCTCGAGCCTGGGTCAATCCCAGACCCAAAAGGTGATTTGCTGCCATTTCTATTTCACTGTTGGCTTTGTTTTCATTCTTAAGAGACCTTAGTGCCGCATTTCCAAAAAACAGACATTTGGAGGAAATGCAACATTTTTCATAAACTCAAAGTCGATTTTTTTGGGGCAGACATTACTTTCACAGTGTTGTAAAATTCCCAGCTTCTGCTGCTGCAACACTGACAAAACCACGAAATCCTCCTGGAATGGAAATTTCCATATTTCGTACGAAATGCGCCATCCAAACGCTGAGCTGACGTGTTGGCTCCAAAAACATCCCAAAGTGGGGATTCCCATTTTCATGTCTGCCAGAACCCTCATGACCATGGGAAGCCAGGACAGAAAACATGCTGGGAGCAGAGGTGGACTCAACATCGAGCCACAGAGAAAGGCAAAACCACAGAGTCCATTTCCCTGTGATACATCTCTATCACCTGCTGCAATCCCCAGTTCCCCCTTTTCTATCTACCTGTGAAGCATCCCATCTCAGTGAGGAGCTGCAGATGGAGATGTGCACTGCAGCTATCTCCCACCCACTGGCATTTCACCTCATCCAAAATGGCCCTAGCAGGCCAAACCACCACTCTTCTCTTCTCCTCTCTCTCTCAGAAGACCTTTTCCCTTTCTTTTCTTTTCAGCGTGCGCACAGGATCGCAAACAGCATATGCGCAGTATAAAATATTCCTGGCAGTCCCTCCTTTTTAATTGCATGCTGCTTCCCCAGCCAACAACTACACGTTTCATCCCAAATTCAGCTTGCTATTTCGAGTCGAGCGAGCAGTGGGATGAGAAGTTTGCCCTAAAAATGTGTTCTGTGGAGTCGGGATGCCATATGTGCGTGGAGGTGCTGAGAGCTTGTTGGCTGCCCACGGAACTGGGAAACCACGTGGGAGGGGGCAGTGGGATTAGAGGGGGGCCAGAGGCCAGCCTGGCTCCTGGGGAGTCTGCATGACTCTGGATTATCTCATTCCTTCACCTTAAAGCTTAGCTGCTTGAAGGATACAGTGCAGTTGGTTGATGCAAACTGGTTGGTGATGCTCCTGGAAGATGCAGGAGCTGTATGCAAAGGGGTACAAATCCCTGCATTCCCACTTTAATTTATTCCCCTAAAAAACACCATCCAGGAGCCTTTAAATGAGGAAATGAGCTCGAGCTCACCAAATAAACCAGTCACATAGAAATATTTCTGCCTCTGTTCTGAGCAGAATTGTGATGGGGAGGCAAAAGGATTGGGAACAGCACGCCTTTTTGGTGTGTATATGAATCTTGGGGTCCATTATTCAGGAGATGGACTTGATGATATTTATGGATCCTTTCCAGCTTGAGATATTCTATGATTCTATGATTGTTGCACCCCAATATCACTGTAACCCAATGATGCCCAATTATTGCAACCCTGCAGTACTCTTTCTACCCAGTACATATTATTTTTGCAACCAAGGATGATATTTTTATTGCAATGCTATTGCAACTTGGTGATACACTGCAATGCTGAAATTCTTCCCGCAGGCTGCATGAGCTTGGTTACCAGCAAATCAAGCTGAAGTTGGAATAATTCACATCTTTGTACTCGATTGGCCGAGCCCTGGCCAGTACTCTGCAGCCTTCCTAGAGGCAGCATGTAAATCACTCCACCAAAAGAGTGTGGGACTGAATGAGTGGATTCAGAGGATGCTGGGTGCACTGAATATTCGTCCTTCTTGCTTCAAGCATCCCCACAGTTTCATGGTTTACAAGGCCCTGGAGAGGACCCAGAGCTGCTGCGCATCTCCTGGGCTTTGGCACATGGAAAGGGGAGCAGAGAATCACATCTCACCTCCAAAGCAGAGACATGAAAGGAGGGAGAGCAGAGAGATAAAAGCCACGAAGTGGCAGCAGGAGGCAGGGAGAAGAAAGATACCAGGAGAACAAGCTGGCTCCCAAAATATCCCTTGTTGTGCTGCGCTGAAGACCAAAAACTTGCACTTGGAAGGCTTTTCCAAGGGGAGAGGCTGTGAGCTTTGCTCCAACCGCTGCCTTGAGGTCCTCAGTGGGTTGGCTTTGAAATAGCAAACCTATCCCCAGGGCTCGGGGGAACTGAATATTGAAAGGAGTTTGTAGCAAACGCCAGCAGAACCCATTGCTGAGGCAAATTAGGTGAGCAGCTTTTGGATCGAAAAGGGAAAAGAACAGAGAGTCAAAATGCTTCGTTTCTGTGTATCTGCAAATGAAATGCTTGGACTTTTCATTTCAAACGCAGCTTTTACATGAAGATGTGCCCAACCAGAACACGAAATGGGCTGGGAGGTCATTGCACAGTGTTCACCTGCCCTTGCTGCACCTCAGCCTGGGGTTTTGGTGCTTGCTGTGCAAGGCATTTCAGTCAGCACAAAAGAGGCTTTCTTCCATCTTTACCACACATTGAGTAAAGGGGGGAGGGAGGGAGCGGGTGGGGTAATGGCAGAAAATACAGAATGAACTCTAAAAACAATCTTCTGCTAAAAATCATCTAAAAATAAACTCTACAATAATCTCCCAGGTGAAAATTTCTTGGAGCCTGGCTTGTCTCTAGGAAACATTTCAGCATTTCTAACCAAAATAACCAATAAAACCCCATTTTTATCCAAAACTGATGATATCAAATCGAACAGCAGCAAGAAACAAAGCCCTGAGAAGCATTTGGAGTTTGTCAATTTCCTTCAGTCCACATTTGGAGTGGAAGAGATTTCCCTGAGGATTTACTTATTAGCATAAAATATATATATATAAAATCAGTGTGATTCAATTTGGACCAAAACTGTCATCTTGCTATGAAAACTCCAAATGTTCACTTTGAAGTATTTGAAACCAACATTTCCAACCAGATGGCATAACTGTGTCCACGGGCAATGGAAGAGCCACTGATGTCATCTGCTTGGGCTTCAGTGAGGCATTTGGCCCCAACAACATCCTTGTCTCTAACTTGGAGAAGTACAGCTTTGATAGGCGGGCTGTTCAATGGATGAGGAACGGTTGTGAGATCCCACCCAGAGAGCAGAGCTCAGTGGCTCAGTGGATGGAGATCACTGACAGTGGCATCCCTCAGGGATCATTACTGGGACCAGTACTGAACTGCTTCATCTTCATCACCGCAGCAGCTCTATGAGTGAGGATCTACCTGCCTGCGTCACTTATTCCCAGTGGGTTGATGGTGGGGAGAAATAAATCCCAAATTTCCCAAGTGACACCCCTGTATTGACCCAACCACTTAGAAAAATGATAGCAATTTCTTCAGTGAGGCAACAGTTGCCAGAGTCTCTGATTTGAAGAGATGCCAGCCCCTTGGGAGCATCCCTTCTGCTTCCTGCCTTTCAGCATCAGCAAGCAGAACGGGTGGGACACCACACTGGTGGATGGTGCATAAAGGTGTAGGTCAGAGTGTAATCTAGCAGCAGAGCTGGGTTACATGGGAGCTCTCAGCACCCTGGGCTGGCAACCTGCAACAGAAGCAAAGAGGAGTTCCCTCAACAGAGCCCAAGAGTTGAGAACAAGATTAAAGGCAACAGGCTTGGAAGAGAAGCAAAATTAAAACATAAAAACTCAGATTTCATTGCCAGAAGGAAACGAGCAGACACCATCTTCTAAGGTTGTTAAAAGAAGAGCCGTCATTACAGCGTGCTGCTGGACCCACAGCAAACTTGGCAGGGTCTTTAATTCAGCTTGAACATTGCAGCTTTCTTTTACCATGGGGGGAAAAGTCCCAGCTGGCACACACTGCCTGCTTTGCATCTGCAGCAGGCTGGACGGCTGCTCATTTCCCAGAGCAGAGGTGAGCAATAATTTTATATGGACTCCTAGATTTTATAGGAACCTGCATCACTGCTGCCTCTCACACCCAATGGAAGCAACGGTTTCTCAGCCAGAAACCACCACAGGGGCTCCATTTGGGGCTCAGCACTTTGTGTCCACTTCAAACCTGACCTCCCCACAGACACTACAGGCTCATTCACCATGAGTTTGCCTGGCACTGAGGTCCTACTTGCCTTCCCTGCCCAGCATTTCCTGACTATAAGGTGCTGTCTGCTGTCACAGCTCCTTTTACTTTCTTTTTTTTTTTTTCCACTTCTTGTTCTTCAGCCTTATGGCTCCTCAGGTGATTTTCTCGAGCAGTTGCAATATTGCAAGTCATTTCTTTGCTGCCCCAGGTTTCCATCAGGAGCCCCATCCCATGCCAGGATGCACCTCAACGATGCACCCGCACCCCAGAGCCCTTCTGCAGCACTGCTTCTTCCCAGGGACTAAATCCTAAAATCCATTTTCCTCCTCTCTCCCTTCCCCTGTGCACAAGGCACTCACAAAGCAGCCACCCCCTCCTCAAGAAGCCGTGTCAGGGCTGAAGGGATTAGCAGGGTGTTCAGCCACTGTCCACGCCTTGCAGCGCCACGCGTTCCCTTTATCTCAGGGAAGCAGGCGCCTTGGCCGCCAGCCCTGCAGGGATTTATCGGGGTGCCCTGGAGCTGCTTCTTGCTCTCGTGCTGGCTCCTTCATCCTCACCCTCTTAGAAAGGGATGGAAAAATGCAAATAGTTCCTATGAGAGCTCGGGCTGGGAGATGTGCACGTGGCTGCTTGGACTCGGTGCCACGCTGTGGGGATGGGGATGACCCCTGAATACTCATCCAAATATTCTCAACCCCCAGCTGCCAGCCAGGACACATAGATCCCACCCCGCATCACCAGCACTGTCCAATGTCTTGCACTGTGCACGAGATCCTCTTCTGATGACAACCAACCCCCAGCTTTCTCCTGGTTTGTGGCATTCCTGCCACCTGCAGGCACTGCAGCTCTCCCCCATCTCTGCTATTTCATCTGGATGAATTGGGGAAAACCTGTCCTGTTTAAGGCCCTTTGGCCATTTCTTGCAGCCCTCTTGATTTTGGGAGCACATCCTGTGGAGCCCCGTTATTCCCATTTTGCTGACGGGAAAACTGCAGGCAGGGAGCAGGGTGGTCAGAAGTTCCTATTTGCAGATGCTTGGCTGCACTGAAAGCCCTGCTTGCCAGCAAGAACAAGCTGCTCTGAGCACACACCAAATCACATCCCTGCAAGCACCCCTGATAAGCATTAAAAAATAAAATCACTCGATGCTTTTAAGGATCCACCCCATGGGCCATGCAGCCCTCGGCCCAAAAATACCCCCAAATATCCCCCAGTGGTGCTGGGTGCAGAATTAATGCTGGGAGAGCAGATGCATGGTTAACAAAGCAGCCACTCAGGAAGGGAAAACAACGACTTAGTACTTTCTAATTACTGTCCCAAGTAAAGCAATTACTCCTCATTCACACGTGATTGCTAAGAATAGCTTACAATGAATAAGCATTTTTTAGGATGCTACTTAGTAAGTTTTCATTAACCAACAAAGTAAGATATTTATACTCCAGCACAGCCCCCATAAACACAGAAAAGACATTACCAGTAAACAACTGAATCAGTACTGTGCTTAATTGCTAGGAGTTATTACCAGGTTACTACAATTACTATGAATTACCAACAGGATGAAACCTTTCATCATTTTTTCAAACAAAAAAAAGGGAAATCTTATTGATGCACTTTGTGATGTTACAAATAATTTGGGGGACAATTCCTGAGGGGACTTCATGCAGAAGAAAAGGAGAGGGGCTGCACAGGGAGCTCTGCAGTGTGCAGTAGGATCAGGCTGGGACAGTTTGGTGCAGGAGTGAACTTCCAGCTATTGCACAGCTCTTGGACTTTCTGCTCACCACCTGCAGCCCAGGTACAGAGGAAAACTCCATACTGGAGAATTTTTAGTGCACCTGAGAGGCAGGAGGAGGATTTGGGCAGCTCTCATTGCATTGGTCCTTGGGGTGGCCATGCCTTTGGCATCAGCCCATCTCCTGCATCTCCAGGGTTTGAGGAGATGGAGAAAGGATCATAGAACCGTAGAATGGTGGGATTGAAAGGGACCTTGAAGATCATCCAGTTCCAACTGCCCCGCTGTGGGCTAGATGCCACTCACCACATCAGGCTGCCCAACCTGGCCTGGAGCACCTCCAGGGATGGGGAAGGTATGCAGGGTCCTGAGAGCCTATAGGACCATCTTCAGGTCTATGCAGCTAAAACCTGTCTGCCTATTCCAGCTGGATCTGTGGGTCTAATAAAAGGTTTTATCAGGCCCTATAAAGTCTCTCCTCTCACAGCCTCAGACATGGCACAGCTGCAGCCTTGCAGGAGCAGACATGGCCGGGTATTTCACTTTGGGCAACACTTGTACAAAATTGGGTGCTATCAATCCTTCCCGCTTCCTCTTGTGTGAAGCGAGGATAATGAGCAGGACGTGTGAAGTCTTGATCAGCTGCTGCTGGTGCAGCATGCCAGTGTTTTCAGATGAAAAGCGATGAGGGAAAAAAAAAGCAGTTATTAGAGCAGAAGCGCATTAGAAAGAAAAAAAATCTGAATTTCCATTACGCCCCTGGAGCTTGACATCTCTGCAAGCAGTGGTATTTCTATTATTGCTTCTCTTATTATTACATATTTGGATTTCAGGTACCCCACACATTCAGGTCCCAGGGCTGGGCAGGAAGGGCCACTCCCCAGTGATGCTGGTTTGGGCCTCGATGGCATCTCAGCAAGCTGCACCTGTAGGCAATGGCTTTGTGCAACACTGCTGGCAGCTGCCCACCACTGATGGAGAGACAGTGGGACAGGAGACACCTGCAGGTGTTTTTCCATTCACACTCCATAAGGAAAGGAAGTGCAGGAATACCCCCCTGTGGTTCTGCTCATGTTCTTGGTGAGCTCAGAGCATTTGTGGCACTGTGGTGTCAGCTCTGCACACAGCTGTGGGATGGAGAAATGTATTGGCCTTAGAGAAATGAAGCTGTACCTCCTCCTTTGGTTTCTCTCTCGTTCTTCCCTTCTCCTTCACCTTTCTGGAAGCACACAGGTCAGGGGCCCACTCCTTCCATCATGTAAATGCAAAGGCCAGGAGCAGCTGTTAAATGGCAATCGCATGAGACCTGCAGGCACGAGGATCTGCCTGCCTGGATCCCAGCACTCATGGACATGAAGAGGGCTGAAAGGACAGAAAAAACACGAGGAGCAAAGAGGATGGGGGGGAAAAATAAAATTAAAAAAAAAAAAAAAAATCAAGATACTGGAGACTAGAAAGGGATTTAAAGAGCTGCCCCCAAATCCTCTTGATGCATCGAACTGTGAGGCTTAAATCTGCACTGCCCCGTTGGTAAATCCTCACCTGTGCTGATACTGTGCTGCTCCTGCTTTGTTGGAAGGGCAGCCCGTGGCTTCATAAAGCAAATGCTGGCTGGGCTGCAGGTTCATCCCCACTGGCACCATTTCATCCTCGCAGCCTGCTTTACCCCAGGGTTTACGTATACATCCCCAGGATGAGATGGGGCTGAAGATGAGAGCAGGGCAGACAGGGCACCAAAGCAGCTCTCTTCCCCGGTTTCTAAACATGAGTCAGCAGGATCCCTGTTTTCAAAGCTGGCTGCTCTGAAAGAGGCATTTGCATTTCAGAGAGATCCTGCTTTGCTCTCCCACTGACAGTGTTTAGCTTTTGTTTAAAAGCAGAGCTCCTCCACCGCATTGCAAAAGGGGCCGAATGGAGGAGACAAGAGGTACGAGCCTCTGGGTTTGATCATTTCTTCCTTCATCTCTGCCAGCAGAGCCCCTTGCCAAGAGGAACCTCTTTAAAAATCCAATTCTCTTCACAAAGCAGCGAAGCAGGGGATGTGGCTGCCATGGGCACATGCACCCACGTTTGCACACACTGAGGCTCTCACAGGCAAAAAAAGCTGGGGAGAATTCGTCTCCTTGGGTAGGAACAGCTCCTGCATCCTATGGCCTGTTCTAATGCCAGAGACCTCAAAAATAAAGCATCTGGGGGGATATGGCTTGTAAATCCCTCCTGCTATTGTGTAGGAAATTGCTGTCATAGGGGGCTAAAATGCATCACCTTCCTATGCTGGACACCTTTTCCTTGCATCCCCAAACATCCTGGATCCCGTGCTGAGGCTGATACCAGCCCCACTCACATTGCAGCACTCACATGTTTAGAGAATGAGCGACTTGCAGCAGGGAATAAAGTGTGCCCTGTTTGCTGCATGGCCTCCCAGAACTCCGGACATGGAAGACAGCAGCTCATGCACTGATGATGCTCTAATGAAGGAACATGATGGCATGAGACATGTCCCCACCACAGTCCCTCTAATCTGCTGTCACTAAAGGGAGAAGAGCTTTTTCTGCAAAAGAATGAAGAATAAGTGAATAAAGGCATGGAGAAGTTCATGGTTTCCATTTGGAATATAGCAGCTAAATAATGATTGATACCAGGAAAGCATGAGGGAGTTTTGAGGTCATAGGGATCCACAGCAAATGGTGACAACCATAATAAGAGCAAAGATAGTGCCTTGCTTGTGGGCTTCATCTCACCTTGCTCCAGCTGCAGTGGTGACAGCAGATTTGGGCCTTTCCTTTTCCTTTCCTAGAGGTCACAAAACAGCAAGTCATCATACATTTCCACAAGGACCAAATTTAGGGCTGCAGGGGAGGTTCCACAATGGAGAAATCTGAGGACATCGTGCAGGACAAGGACAGACTTTGCTATTACAAATGTGTTGCAGTTTGGAATTTTGGTTTCCATACTGGGAGGCTTGACCTGAGAGCTCAGGATGGGATGTTTAAGATCCAGAAACACAAACCTAGCTACTCTTATTATACTTCAGTTTCAGGTGACCACAGCTTGAGGCTGCTCTGGACATTGGCATTCTCTGCAAGGACAGCCCCAGAAACAGACACAGCTGCACTGGTATCTTTTTTACCTTCCCTGCAAATCAATCCTATCAGCTCCTAAGTAAGTAGAATTGATTCAAAGCATTCAAATAGTCCCACTCATGTCTTTTCCCCCTTCTTTTGAAGGAATGAAGGAAAAAAGGTACTTACCATCAGAAGACATCAGAAGACCTCAGCCATGCAGGGATCTCCAGCAAGATCCCCTTGCTTCCCCTGCCAACCCTTAAATGAGGGCTGGGAAGGGGTGGATCCTGGCTGCAGCCCTTCCATCACTCAGTACATTGCATGCACCTGAGCTGCTCTGGGCTGGCCCTGCCTTCCCACCAGGTGCTCCATCACTGCTTCAGGCTGTGACTTAGCATCTCTACCACAGTACCACAGTAGCATGGGATGGGAAGCCCATTGCATCTGCACAGTGCCACCAGGGAGTTTTGCTCCCCAGGAGATGAGTGTAAAATTGACATTTGCAAGTTGGCATTTTTGTCAACTTTGCAACAATCCATTTGCAAAGGCTGAATCTCATAGCATCTCTCAGCTCAGCCCATAACCCCGGGGATGGCATCACACCTCGTGGCTACGCCAGGAAGACAAAGCCTGAACATTAAAAAATCCAGACACCAACGTGTTATTAACAGCAATATATTACAGAGGCACAGGAGAGGAGTGCAGTATTTATAGACCTAAGTAACCCTCAGACACAGGTGGAACTTTTTGACTCCGTACTGCTCTCAGTGCTGGATTTTGTTTCTGCCTGAGGATTATTTTGGAAAGAGTTATTATCACCTCTGATTTATCGCTCTGCACTGGGGGAACTCTTCCTTTCTGCCAAGACAATTAGCAAGGCCTCTCAGAGAGCCACTTCACAGAGCCACAGCCTCCACTCTGCCACTGATTGCAGACAGACAGGTGAGGTGAGGATGGATGGAGAGGCACTGAGCTCCATCCCCACCATCCCCACCAGTGGCATCTTCCTCTGTATTAAATGGGCAGCTGAAATCCAGGAGCAGTAGCCTGTGAGTTGTTTTCATGAAGATTTTTTTAACTCTTCTGTGAAGTTTTCAACTTTTTTTCTCCTTTTGGTTAGGAAAAGCAGGCTTCTGTGCAAGCAGATGCAGATGCCTTTTTTTGGCTGTTCTGCTGTGTTTTACTCTCCTCCACAACAGCTACAGCACTCATTGCCCACTGCATCCTCCCAGGCTGATGCAGGCTATCTAGAATATAATCAGAATACAGTCAATTAAGGACAGGATTAGACTGAGAGGAGGTTAAGAGGGCTGTGACAATGAGACATTCATACACAAGTCTTTTCCTTCCACCCTTCACTGTCTGAGCTGATTCTCCCAAGGTCCATCGGAAACGAGCTGTTTGTTAATGCATCTGTGGGCACAGTACAAAAAAAAAAAAAAAAAAAAAAAAGGAAGAAAAACACCCCAGAAAAGTTGTTTCTTCACCCAGCTGCCCTTGTGCCAAAACTGCCCCATCCCTGCTGCCTGCTGGTTGATAACCGCCTGGGAAATCAGGCTTTCTGCTCTGTGCAAACAGAAGTTTCACCTCTTTGCTCTTAATTTGCATTGCTCCCTGCCTTTCCTCTCTACCAGAGTCCCAAGAGGAGCCTCAAACCATCATTTTGAGGTTGGGCAGAGGTGGAGCTGTGGATTTGGGTGGCATGCATGGAGCTGTGCTTCGAGTGAGTAGGGCTGGAAATCTCAACTCCTTGCCAAAAACAGAGCGTTGGCTTTAACTATTTGAGCGATTTTGCCCCATGGTTGCCTGGATACGGGGAATTGGTGGCCAGGAGTGCTCTTTCAGGTTTGTGTCCCTACGGTCCTCATGTGGTGTGCAGGCGTTGATTGAGGTGTGAGCATCTCTGCTCTGCTGGCTGCTTCTCCGAGCACTTCTGTGTGGCCAAAAGCACTTTGGGGTGGCTGAGCAGAGCGTATTCGTGACTGCCGACAGCACTTCTTGTTTCCTCTTCCTGCAAGAGGATGGCTGAAACACCGGCAAAAAACAAGGAGTGTTTGGAGGTCGAGAGCAGCTCAGCGTTTAGAGAATCATTGCTGAAGTTATTGCGTGGATAATGAGCCCACCTGAAAGTATGAATAAACTCTGATTTATAGAAAAGCTCAAAAACAGCTAGAAGTGGAGTGGAGGGGGTGTACATGTAAATTTCAGTCTGTTTTTATTGTTCCCACTGTGATTTTCTGAGCTTGCTGTGGTGAGATCTGCACCATGAGCCAAGGGCACCGGCTGCCTCCTCCAGCTGTGCACATCTGGAAATCCCACTGCGCACCGACTGCTTCCTGCAGCTGCTCAGGTGGGCATCACAGCACTGAGACCCATCACAACGGACACATACAGACCATAGAAGCAGAAGGACAGTGCCAAAATGCCAAGGACCTCAAACAAGAAGCACAAGCTTTGCTGTGCCTGGGGGTTGTCACTCCCCAGCCATGAAATACCTGTGCCTGTTGTGGGGGAAGGTGGCATCAGGACCACAACACTCTTAATGGTCCAGAAAAGTTGGAAATGATCTGACTCTTGTCTTTAGGAGCTCTGTGTTTAACGAACAGTACAGATATATATATATACACACACACATATATATGTATGCATATGTATATGTTTCAAATGGCCTCATTTTACCCAAAAAACTGAGAGCATTTGGTTGATAACCCAAGAGCTCAGGTCTGCGTGCCTAATTCTGGCAGAGCAAATTGCTAAGTTTTGATGATCACTTTTGCTTTTTGCATGGACACCCAAAGAGAGCCTGGGTCCTGGGTGAGGGGCTGCTCCCTGCAAGCTGAATGCATAGAAGCCTGCATGAAGGGAGATAAGCCTTCAAGAAATTGTGCTGGGAAGTGCAGAGGCCTAGGGAACCTCTTAGAAACACGTGTGTTAATTTCAGGGCCATAGTGAAGAGCGTTCATCCTGTTTCTGTGCTCAGGTTCGTGACTGAGTGAGAACTGGCCACAAACAGCACAAAAACGAACTGCAGCACCTTTCCTGAAAATCGTGGAGGATTTGTTTCTTTGGAAAAAACAATCCTGCTCTTCCCACATGTCTCTGATCCTTTCATTCTATGGGCTCAAAACAGGGCTGGTTTTGCCCTCGTGCCTCCTCAGCTCCGCCAGCTTGGCCATACATACAGGGCACGGATGCTGGGATTCAGGACGGACCCCTCCATGCACTGCCTCGGGGGGAAAAGAGCAACAAACCCCACCAAACTCCACCTGTGAACATCCTGAAGCCTCAATTCCTTCATCCCCACTGTCTCCCTGGGAGCCGTGTAACACAGCCGAGCGCGTCACCTCTCGGGGGACAGACTCACCCTCTCCAGGACCTTTAGTGCCAAGTGACACCGTTATCCAATTTCCTCCTAATTGCACTAACAAGGATGAATTAGGACTTTCATCAACGGGGGCGAGTGATCAGTTTGGAGTCAGCCATGGGCGACGGAGCCAGAGATTAAACAAAACTATCATGTTAATGTCTAATAATACAACAGCAAGTGGAAATTAAGCACAAGACAAATATGCTGTGCCGGCGACATTGGAGAGTTTGTTCTTTAAACACGGCGTTATTTTAAAGGCAATGCTATTATTAGGGCCATCTAACTTAATTTCGAAGGCATAATAGAAAAGTAAATGTGCCGCAGTTGCACTTTATGTGCAATTTTGAAAACAAACCCAAACTAGGGGAGAATGCTGCGTGCTACTGAAATAGCCACTCCAGCTGAATTCCTCTTTGATATACGTTAATTACCTCCAGCAGGGGAGGGACAGCTTCACTCCAAGTTGTGCTCTGTGCAGATGAAGCTTTGAGAGCAGCCCAGCTCCTGTGTGGGTTGAAATGATGCCAAACCCCATGGGATATTTTAACTCCTGGTGCGCCGTCACCTTGATGTGACGCAGGAAGGCTCATTCCTTGCTGTTGGTGCACGTTTGTTATCTGACAGTTGCATCACTGATGGTTTTCTTACAGGTTTACTTTTCAGATCTGCCCCTTTTACTGCTTTCCTGCTTTGTGTGTAGGGAAAATATTTCCACGTGGGGTGATGGGTTTGTTCCCAATACTGTGGCTGAGCAAAGTGCTCCTGTTGCATGCTGGCACAAGCAGTGGGAGGCAGTGCTGATAACCTCTTTGCTTGTGCAGTGCAGTCACAGGGTTGATCTGAGCATAATGCAATACAATCAAATTCCCCTGTATGTATTTTGTGTGTGTTTTTTTTTTTTTCCAGCGGTGATATCA